AAAAGCAGACTACCAAACTTTGAAACAGTCCGCACGGTTAACGTTAGGTCAGTCACACGGTGTTACACCCACAACACGGGGCTTCACTATCGGTATCTGTCGCCAATGTTACCGCCACCAACACCGCTCAATAACACGGGGAACTTTAAGGGATTTACTAGTAGAAAGGACAGTGAGCATGTCCCACACGAAACACTGTTCGGTTGCGGGTTAGTTTGCAAGCGAGAGCTCGAAACAAAAAGCGGGCTGCAGCGTTTTCTGAAGTGAAGAAACAAAAAGCTACCGGGCTATTCCGTTCAACTCAGTCCAACACGCGTGTCTGAAAGTAACACACGGTTATCAACGCGGTAACCTTCCGCGTGTGTTGTCGAGATTTTAATTAAATACAAAAAGTTGCGACGAACCCCGTCCTTCCCTTTAAATTCTAACTTTTGCCCGCTAGAGCGCCAAATACGGCTCATTGTTGTTAGCTGTTAGCACGCTAGCTAGCCGCCGCTGCTACCATTAGCACGCCACGCTCTCGCTCTCGCTCACTTCCACGTTACCCCCATTGTCGCGTCGGTTCGCTCTTTGCACACTTAGCAACGGCACGCGTCAGGTTACCGTCACACCACACTGCGCTCGGTCTACTCACACGCAAACGAATCGGCACAATTTCACAAAGAGTAATTTACCGTCCGGGAGAAATAACAGGACACTTACTGAACAAAAACTTTGAATCTTCGCCGTGTTCTTTTCACGCACTGCGCATGCTCTTACTACTAATGCATACAGCTGTATATTAGAATACATTAGCATAAAAAGCCGGAATGAAAGGGCTGGACGTGGAATGACCATATAAGGAGCGCAGCCGTTGGGTTTGAACCTGCCCTCGACCAATCGCTGCTCTCCTCGCGCACTGTTTGGAAGACATGAATGGTGGGAGGCGTAGTGAGCGAGCGGGAGACGTTTGTGCCGCCAGTAGTCAACGGCCTTCTTTTCAAACTCCAAATCCCAGAAGCCACCTGGCCAAAGGCTTTAAAGAAAAACAGCTATCTGATATGGCGCGAACGAGTTTGTTGACATTTTTCTCAGCTGAGAAAGCGCATTCAGCAGCTTAGTAACGCGAAACCGCTTAATTTACTGCCGTGTTACTTTTCAACTACGATTTATGTGACTATGATTAGTTGTGAAATTCAGTTGCCATTTACAATATTTTGGCATATATTTGCTTTTAATACATTTAAAGTAGAGCTAAAGTTGGCACACGAAACAGATAATATAAATCTGAATGAAAAAACTGGTTAACCAATACAATTACATCCACTTTAATGCATTACAGATGCTTTATTCTTAATATATTTGTACACTGTACACTGTTGCTCACTTAGTAAACACTACATTACACAGCTATGTCAATAAATGTACAACAGTATTGGAAAACAAAAATATATATCTCCCAAGATGCTCATGTGTGGGTCGTACACAGACGAGTACAACACAGTCATTCCAGACACTGTTGGCACAGAAAAGAAGTCCTTCGCATATCAAATCTCTTGTTTTGCACAGTAAAGTTCAATGTATGTTACAGGGGAGGGCCCGGTTATACCTCAAGACATCCCGATATTTAGTTTGTAGGGGATTTAAATTTTCTCTCTCGTGGATATTGCATAGCAAGAAACCATGATGACAAAATCAGGAGGCGGGGAAGGAGCTGTTGCTCCTCACACAGAAAGCAGGAGATGATCCTGTATCGTGAGGAGTCTACACAGATCATGACACCGTTTTTGTTCAGAGGGCAGATGTAGTGTTAAGGGCTGGGATGATGGTTAGGTAAAAGGGCTGGTTGGAGGTATTTACATGAAGGCTGTCACTGTGATCCACTTTGCACAGAAAAGCCAGGTCAAGCATCCCTCGGAGGACGTGTCTGGAACACAAAACCTAAAAAGACTTGGGTTTTTTCCTTTATCCGACTGAATATACTGTCCATCACTGGATACAGGCTTGTCTTATTATCATGCAAGAAGGGTCATTTTCTCTGCTAAAGGTATTCCAAGTAAAAGATCTGCATTTCTCAGGGAAAGGGCCAAATGGTACCGCCTTTTTGTATTTCTATGTAGGTGAATCATCTTCCACACTACAAACCCCGTCATACACATACTTATAAAGCATACTTCTACATCATTTGCTTTAAGCTCTGCGTAATGACATTGGAATCTGAGTTGACAACAGAGCAAGCAACTTGACTGATTTAACAAAATAATACTGTTTATCTCTGAAAATATATTAACAGTTTTGATCCTCACTTTCCCTTAAATATAGCCATTGTCAGCAGTTCACGATAACAATGAAAATATTTAGCTTTCAATAAAACATTATAGCACAAGTAGGTCAATAATGTCAAAATCATGGTTCATAATAGAAAACATATTTTTAACATCTAATGGCAACATTGTTGAGGATAAAAATAACAACATATCTGGAAAGGCTCATTGCACTTAATATATGGCAAATGTAACAGTAGCTTTAATATAAGCCAGAAAATGTCCTTTGTTCAAGTCAGTTCCTGCATATAAAAGGTTCAGTTATTCTTTTTAGTGGTCCCCAGTGATCTTCCTGGTCAGGTAACAACTGTTGTGAAGTTGGTTCGGTTTAGATACCGACACCTTTGACAAGCGAAGCCTCCAGGGTGATGTTGAACTCCTGCAGAGTCTGTAGTACTCTGATCAGAGAGTTCACCAACGAGCGGTCCTTAATCAGTGCTGTGTCCTCGTACATCTGAGCGGTGATCGGACAGTCTGCGAGCAGAGCAATCCAGTGATGCAACAAATGGTCCCTGAGAGGAGAAGACACAGACAGTCAACACAACAGCTTATGCAAGTGTGAAAGGCCATTTCACAGACTAAAACCACAGCATGCTGTAGATAAAAATCTCTTCCTGCTTCATGAAAATGTGTTTTATAGAGTAAGGCTGCAATTAACAATAATTCTCTTCATTGATTAATCATGTTTTGGATTAATTCTTTTGTCTATGAAATATCAGAAAATGCTAATTACGATGTCCTGTGTTGTCTTCATATTACTTGTTTTGTCCAACCAACAGTCAAAAACCCAAAGATATCCGATTTAAGGCAGCAAATTCTCACATTTGAGAAGCAGGAACAAGGGAAAGTTTGCCATTTTTTTGGTTGATAAATGACATAAACAATTAATCTACTATGAAAATGAATGACAATACATTTTCTACTGACTAAATATTCGATGAATGACCTAATTGTTGCAGTACTACTATTTTGTATGGAGGAGTCATATATAGAAAAGCATAAAAACACAATTATAAATCAACATACAAATCACTGCTTCACTATGCACTTAAATGCACTGGCACACACACTCTTCATCAGGGAGGATGAACTACAGCAATCCAATAAAACATCTGATACTTAACAATCCTCAAAGGAGAGATCATTTTCACTTGACTCCTATCAGGTCAGGATGCAGGGTCAGATACAAAGTAGGAACTGTTAGGGATTCAGTGTCTGAACCAAAGACACTTCAACAGGAAGGATTGATTTTTATCCCGGGGGCTTAAGCTTGATTAATGGTTGTGCGTTACTGGGTTGTGACGTAGATCCAGAGACTGCACACGTGGCCACAGCTGACACGTAAGGAGGTTTTAAGTGAGAGCTGCTGGCCTACCTTGCACCCAGACAGACGAGCATCTGGAACTTCCCGTCCTTGCCGATGTTTCTGGACGTGTTGTTGATGGCACGCATGAAGCGGCAGAAGTGGCGCACTCTGGTTTGCCAGTTTTCATCTGGAGTCACCTCCCGCTGCTCCGCACTTTCAAAGTACACTTGTGACTTCTCTGTTAAAGCAGAAAAATAATTAAAAGTTAAGTTAGTTAACAGTTGATTATATAGTAATATCTATTTAAAGGAATACTTGAGCCCAAAATCTTTTTGGCACACCAGGTTTGAAATGATGGAATATCACTTTAAGGACTTAAGTAATATAAGGGAGTAATAATAATAAGTCTTTACCCAAGAAGTCCCAGATGAAGACATTCTTAAAGAGTCGGGGTGATTTGAAACCGTGCTGGAAAACTTGCTCCAGAGCCCAGACGAGGCCATACTCTCCACAGAGGAGAAGAGTCAGACTGCCTCTCTATGGAGAGCAAAAACAACAGGAAAATACATGTAGTTAAAACTGATTATAAGGCTGTTCTCTATGACAACCAAATGGAGCACTTTCTAGATACAAAGCTACAACAGCTTACCAGATACACTTGTCCAAACAAAATACAGTGACGACTTTACTTCCCAATATCTTGCAGAAAAAGAAGTCTAAGGTGCAAAAGTGCCGTCTCTCACAGGTCTTTATATTTCAAAAGAACTTCCAAATAATAAATCATTGTGAGAAGAGTTACCTGAGTGTTGTATCAATTTATGAGTTCATGAAAGAAATATTTTGTAGCTGTTATATCAGCATGAGAATAAAAACATGTACGAGAGAGGAATTTAGGCTTGTAGGCATATTTACATGGTGACAGACTCAACTAAACACAGAATACAAAGTGCATTTCAACTGTTTTTATTCTTAGCAGCCTCCCGACATTGTTCTGTCAGTACTGTACAGAGGTGGAGCAGATGGAAAGGGGACTTCCCTGTAAAAATCCTTTGTACCTTGACTACACAATGAATGACTCTTACAACATGCAATCAACAGATAAGTTATAATGCACTTTGAATAGCAAACATCACTCCATGTGCCTTAATAAGTAATAATTATCAGTGTGGGTGCTTTATACTAGTGCATCCTAAACAGAACATATAACAGGAATCATTCTAGGGCAGCAGAAATAATCAATAATAATATAAATTTCTTTTATTTCTTATATAATTAACCAGCAGGAATTCTCTCTTTTAATGTGTAAAAATCTAAATTATACCACGTAGCCCACAGTTATACTGGGAGGGCTTGGGGACCACCAGAGCAGAAAGCTGCTTTTCTTCATTTGTGATGAATAATAGAACTGCGTGTTGGGGCCTGTCTAGACTGCCGTCTCTCACCTCCTTCTCCGGCTTATGGAAGTGCTTCACAATCCCATTGATGGCCTCTCCCACTCCCTCCTGGATCTGACCTGTGTTTAACTCTGGATGAGAAGAGAAAAGCAAATAAAGATGCTGTAAGACAATACGAGCCAACACAGGGAGGAAAAAACTCCCCATCCAGGTTTTATCTATTTGTCATTGTGTTTTCTCAATCATGTGTTTGAATTTTTAGCAGTGAAGGTATTAAAAACAAGACTTCAAAAAACGTGGGGCCCAGTGTTTGACCGTACTTCTAAGAATGAATCTCAAGTTGAGAGAAAAAGAAGGAAGAGAAGAAGGAGGAAAAAAAGGAAAATGCAGAGTAGACGAATGTTTCCCCGCAGTTAGGACTACAAGAAAATGTCTACACACCACTATTGTTTAGGACTCATGGTTCTGCAGTTGAGTTACTTACTTGGTTTGCTGTTTGGCGAGATGGTAACAAACCTCCTCATCATCCCCGGGGATTGCT